GGCTACTACTACTACTACTTCTACTACTACTACTACTACTACTACTACTACTACTACTACTACTACTACTATTACGATCACTACTATTTTTTATTGCGACTACTACTAGTGCTACTACTACTACATTGCTAATTATACTGCTGCTGTTGCTCTTACTACTTTGACTACCACTACGATTACTACTACTATTACTACTGCTACTGCTACTGCTACTACTACTACTACTACTACTACTACTACTACGACTAGTGCTACTGCTACTGCTACTGCTACTGCTAGGTTTTTCGCTCATACGCCAGTCCCCAGGCTCTGCGGTGCTCGCGCGCGCTGCGTTCTCTTGCCTTGTGGCGTTCACAAGCGCTGTGCCGTTTTCCGGCTGTGTAGTGTGCACAGGCGATGTGTATTTACAGGTGTTGTGGTGTTCTTAGGCGCTGTGTTCACCAGCGCTTTGATGTCCTCAGGCGCTGTGGTGTTCACGGACGTTGTGCTCTCTAAAGCACTGGTGTTCACAGGCACATCGCGTTGATCGGATCGCAAGCTTTTGTGGCGCTGGTCACAGGCGCGTCGTGTTTGTGTGGTCGCAGGCGACTGCTTTTCGCAGGCGCACTGCGGTGCTTACGGGCACGTTGCAAACCGCACCCCCCCCCCCCTCCCGATCACGGCGAAGCCCCCCCCCTCCCGATCACGCGCCTGATCGGCCCGAATACACGAACGGGCTCCTTCCTGCAGGCCTCGTGGAGGCCCTCTTCGGGGCCCCCTTAGAAGACCTCTTGGATGCCTTCGGGGACTTGGTCGGGGCATCTGTGGCCGTCTTACGGCGTTCCTGGCCCGTCTGCCGCCTTCTGAAGCCGTCTTGGGGGCCTCTCTGAACCGACTTTGGGCTCTCGTGGGGGCCTCTCTGAACCGCTTTTAGAGCCTTCCTGGAGGCCATCTTCGGAGTCTTGTGCTTGGGGGTCGTTTTGGATGCCTCTTGAACGAAGCCATCTTGGAGGCCTCTTGGGCGATCTTGGGGGCTGTTGGGCCGTCTCGGTCCGTCGGAAGGCCGAGAAGAAGAAACAAATGCCAAAATCCTTCAAACACTTAAGACCAGTTGATGTTTTTGTTGCCTCCTCAGGCCTTCCTGGATACCCTTCTGGATGTCTCTTGGACCGTCTTGGAGACCTCGTTGGGGCCTCTTGGGCCATCTTGAAGCCAGTTTGGGTCGTCTTGGTGGCTTCTTCAGCGGACTTGGAAGCATCTTGGACCCTCGTGGTCCGTCTTGCAGACCATCTTGGCCGTCTTGGAGGCCTCTGGGGACCATTGTGCTCGGGAGGACCAACGGGCATTGCTGATTCCGGGTGGCCGGCTCGCTGGGATCAAGCCCCAGGGGGAACCAAAATCCATTTGAACTTCAGCAGGCCAGGCATCCTTGTTGGCACAGGGGGCGGCAGATCGAATGGCCTGCGGCCCATTCCGCCACCGTGCCTGGGTTCTGGGTCATAGGCATGTCGGATGTTCGTTGGGAAATCGCGGGAGGCTTCTCGGGGGCCTCGTGGAGGCAGTTTCCAAGATCTCTTGGGGGCCGTTTTGGGGCTTCTTGAGGCGTGCTGGGGGACTCCTGGGAGCCTATTGAGAGGCTCGTTGGACCTCCTGGGGACATCTTGGGCCGTTTGGGTTGGGCCAGCTTGGGGCCCTTGTTGGGGCCTCTTGGGCCGTCCTGGGGTGGCTTTTGGGCCGCCTTGGGGCCCTTCCGGGCCTCTGGGGCCGTCTTGGGGCCCTCTTGGGGGCTTTTTGGGACGTATTGCAGCGTCGGAAGTTCGAAACGTCGAGAATCCCCCAGAAAGATTGAAATACCTTGGGGACATCAGCGATCTTGGCCTTTCGGAGCTCATTTGGGAAGGCTCATGGAGCTCTCTTGGGGCGTGTCGAGGGCTTCTTGGGCCACCTTTGAGCCATTTTGAGCGCCTTGGGCCATCTTGGAGCCGTCGTCGTAGTCGTCGTCGTCGTCGTCGTCGTCGTCGTCGTCGTCGTCCCCCTGGACTGCACGACGCCTAAGCAGTACCTCCACCCCATGTGCCATCCGCATTCCGCCGTCGTCGTTGTCGTCGTCGTCGTTGTCGTCGTCGTTGTCGTCGTCGTCGTTGTCGTCGTCGTCGTCTGTCATCGTGGTCGTCGGCGTCGTCCTCAAAGGGCTGTCGTCGTAATCGTGATCGTGATCGTCGTCGTCGTCGGTGATTGTCGTCCTCCTCGTCGTCGTCGTCGTTGTCGCCGCTGCCGCCGCCGCCATCGTCGCCGTCGTCGTTGCCGTCGTCTTCGTCCCCGCCCGGGGTTGCAATAATCCTATGCAGCCCGTCCCTCCCCTCCAACCTTTGCCCCCCCTGGCAATCCACAGAGGGCCGTCGTCCGTCGCCCGCCCTCCCCGCCCAACCCCCCACCCCCCTTGCTGCTTCCCCACCCCCCACTGGCCCGCCCCCCTATCCCCTCCCCGCCCGCCCCCTTCCCCAACCTGCCATCCGCAAAGGGCCGTTCGTCCAGTCGGTGGTCTCCGTCGTTGCCGGTCGTCGTTCCCCGAGACTGCAAGACCCCTACGCAGCGCCCCCGCCCCCCCTGACCTGCCATCCGAAAAGAGTGGCCGCCGTCATCCGTTCGTCGTCGTCGTCGGCGTCGTCGTCGTCGTCGCCGTCGCCGTCGCCCTCGCTCGCTCGCTCGCTCGCTCGCTCGTGCGCCGCAGCCGCCAAAACAGCCCCGCCCAACAACCCCGCGCGGTGCGCGCGCAACGATCGGGGATTGGGTGTACACAAGACAGACAGACAGACAGACAGACAGACAGACAGACAGACAGACAGACAGACAGACAGAAGGTTATCGACAACATGTTGTGGACTCGAATGGCCAGCCCCGTGCCATCGGGAGGAATGTGTTCCAGATGAGGAAGAAACGGAGGATAAAGGAGGAAAGAGAAAGAGGGAGAGGATGAGGAGGAGGAGGATTGAAGAGGAAGGGGGAAAAGAGAGAAGAGAAGAGGAGAGAGCAGGGGGAGGAGAAGATGAGAAGAAAGGGGAGGAGGCGAGGAGCGAGGAGGAGGAGGAGGAGGAAGAGGCTTCCGCTCGCCGGGCTCTGGAGGCGGACGGCGTAGACACGCAGCCGCCTCCCCGGCCGCTGACGGCCCTCGGGAGGTGCACCACTCCCCGCGGTACACGCCGAGTCTCGGGCGCCAAGCCTCGGGGCCGCTGCACTCGCCGCGGGGCACGCCGTCCCTGCTGCGCTCGGGGAAGAGGCTGGACGCGGACGCGGCGATCCACCCGTGGGCTCCCGCACAGGCGCCGGCGGGGAGGGGCGTCGGGGTCGGGTGGGCGGCGAGCGAGGGGGGGAAATAGAAGGAGAAGGACTTCTCAGAAGGCGGCGGGACTTCTCAGAAGCCCTCGCGCCTTCTGAGAGGTTTCCTGTGTCTTCGGACAGGCTTAGAGAACTTCTCAGAAGGCCGGTGGACTTCCGGGCCTTCTGACAAGGCCCGCCCCTTCTCTCGCTCCCTCCCCGGGCTCGCCGCCGATCGGGGGGGGGGAGAAGCGGTACCAGCACCACCGAGTCGGCCACCTCCAGCGAGGAGGTCCACGATGCCTCCCCGAGCCTGGGATGGAGGACGTCTCGAGCGAGAGGGGGGAGGGGGGGCACACCACCAGGGGGATCCCCCTGGCTTCTCCCGCTGGTGGTCTCTGTGATGGTGTCGCTGTTCCTCGATGTCATCGGGGGAGAGGCGCAGGAGGTCGCGCTGGGCGTTGGACCGGACGGACACGCCGCACTCTCTCTCTCTCTCTCTTTGGGCTGGCTGGGTCTTGTGCTCCGGGCGTCGCCGTGGCCGAGGCCCCGCCCTGACAGGAGAGCACTCCGTAGCCAGTGGCTCAACGGCGCGTGCACTTTCCAAAAGAGGAGGCATCTTCGGTCGGGAACTTGTGGTTAGCGTGTCGCTCCACAATTTCTGGCCCACCACGCTTCGGCGCGACACGCTATCCACTTCCCAGTCCCCAAGCTTTAACGTCTCGAGTTTTGTCCCAACCTCCCATCCCACGCTTGCGCGGCATAGCGTGTCGCCGGGGCCGCCGACGCGACGCGCTAAGCAAAAGTCCCCGACCGCACGCGCAAGAGTGACCCTTGGCCGGAGTGACCTTTGGTGCGCGGCTTGCGGTGGGCGGGGGGAGGGAATTCCTAAGGACGCAGGCAGCCAAAAGTCGCACCGCATGCAGCGATCGGCAAGCCGCGCACAGAAGTCACTCTTGCCTGGGATCCCACCTGCGTGTAGCCGAGGAAGATAACTATCGCTGTTGGCTTTTCCTGAGATCCGACGACACGAAAACATTGCAGCTCGACTGGGCCCCATCTTTCTGCAGCTTTTCCGAGCCGGATGGATCCGTGAAGGCCTCGGGGCCCAAAACCGAGCACAATCGCCAGCTGTATCACAAAAAGTCGCGACGCTAGGATCTCAGGGTTTCCCTCTGTCGCAGCAGAGAGGCATGGCGACCGGGTGGGCCGCCGCCGCTTCCGTGCGTGCGCTTAGGGCCCGCGGCCCCGCCTCTCGGCGATTTGCCTCCGCCAGCGGCCGCTCCAGCAGCGCCGCCGGAGGCGTCCTCGCGGTGGCGGCGGCGCCAGCGGCGGCGGCGCTCCTATCGTGGTCGCAGCTGAGGGCGGCAGATCGCAGCGAGGCACCGGGCGGCCCGCGCCCCGCTCGCTCGCGGGCCCACGTCTCCCTGGCGGAGGGCGAGGAGGCCGAGCCGTCATCGCGCCCCCCCGTCTTCCTCGAGGAGGAGGAAGCGGCACGGGCGTAAGCTGTCGGAGGTCCGCGCGGATCTCTTGGATCGGCGCTGGGCCCCTCTCCCAGGCGCGCGGGCGTGCCAGTGGCGCCCAGCGCCTGTAGAAGAAATCCGCGCGGAGCTCCGAAAGTTGATGTTTATGTTTTTGCTTGCTCTCTCTTTCTTCCAAACCAGGGTGTGGCAGGTAGTCGCGGGCGGCGACATCGGGAAGGCTGA